TCAGCCCCCAATCCTAGAGTCCCCCAAACACCCCAGCATCACGGACATAGAGAATCAAATCTCCAGAGTCCCCAGTCGCAGCCAGAGGCTCCCAGTATTCTCAGAGATAAGAGGCAGGAGAAAAAGCCCCACAAGAGACTAGACCAGGGACCATGTCTGTGAATACTTTGGGAGGGACCTGTGCTCTGTCCCTCTCAGCACCCAGAAGGGGTTCAGGGTAGCCCGGGGTGGGTTCAGCCAGGCAGGCCCCAGCACACTGAGCCGCCGACCTCTGAAGATCCCTGTCCTTGCATGTGGCCCTGGGACAGCAGAGTCCCTGCAGGCCAAGACACCATGAGGGCTGGGACAGCACCTCTCAAGTCCACAGCACGGCCACATGCCAGACGGACTCCCCCAGTGCCCTGCCCTGGGCAAGACCCTAGGACTGGACTGGACAGGGAGCCCCAGAGGGACCAAGCTCAAATCTACTACCCACAGGAGGGATGCAGGGATGGCTTCCATTTAATGCCATTTAAAGGAAACGAGCTGCAGTATGTTTGGTATGTTTGGCACACCAGCATTTCTGGCTGCAGTTCACACTGACTGCACACACACAACCCTAGGACACACCAGACATAGGCGCACAGAAACCCTCAACACACACTCAGATGCTCCCAGAGCCACATACCCAGCAAATACAACCACACACCACCTAGCAACGCAGAAGCACCGGCAAAAACACACACAAGCGGCGCACCCCAGAGAAACCACCCGGAGATGTACACACGGACCTCAAACACGCAACCCAGAGTCCCACATGCCACACCCAGAGGTGTCCTCAGACACAACCACACAGCCACACCTGGGACAGGATGGGAAGTAACTGGGACACCGTCAGGCACAGGCAGGCAGCTGTGGGTGGTACCCGGCAGCCCCTCCTTCCACGCAAGGCCCCACAGCCCACTGGTGCCTGCCTGGTCGCCTGTCCGAGGCTGGGCCTCAGGAGGAGCAGCCCAGGTACAGTTCCCGCCCTCTGTCCCCATAGCCACATTGGGGTGGAGCTGGGGAGGTGGGACATAAACACTGACTCCACCTCGGGGTCTGAGGGGCTGCATCTGACAGGAGTTAGGGAAACAGGGACAAATTCCAGTCCTGCTTCT